GCTACCATCATTGAAATGCTCATGATGTTCAGCACACAATATTGATGGTAACTGAGCACACTCCAAAATATATGAAGCTTGCATATTGTGGTGGGGTGTTTAAACACTGGAACTTGGAAGAATTGGAACTAGATTAAGTCTGAATACTATTTTACAATACTGATAACTTTTTCACTCCACTCTTTTTAACATAAGTATATTGTAGTGGACGTCTCCCCTACAACTGCGTATCGCATTCCAATGTGCCACCTCCCCTAGCAACCAAGCGAGAGCTGTCCCCAGATGTTACCCTATCTTTGCAACGGAACTAGTCACCGGCTACTTCTCGGGTTTTCCCAACATGACTCATAGAGGACTGGCGGCTGCTGCTGGGTGTATATAAGCTCTGTCTCTCCATTGAGATTCATTCTGACCAATCTTCTTGAACAAGCAACACCTCCTCCTCTGCCGCTGCCTGGCGACCCTCGCCTCTCCTCCGCCTGCCTGGCGGTCCTCGCTCCCACCAGCGAGCATGTCCTTCTCTGAGCTTCCTCACCAACCAACTCTCATTCTGCCCATTTTCCTGAACAAGCAACATCTCCTCCAGCAAGCTCCACGCTGTTAACATTTCATTCAACCAGGAGGCCAGCAACAGGCAACATCTTCTCAAACGAAGCTCCTGCACATCTACCTCCTTCAACAAGCTACTCACCGCACGTCTCTACCAAGCAGCCCCTCACCACACAGCACCTCCAGCACCAGTCTGTCTATCATATAACTTATATATTATACAAGAAAACCACATTAGAGTTTCCTCCCATCCTGAGTGCTAGACAACTTTAATATCTCGATACGCCTACAATATAATTATATATTATTGCATATTATCACAAATATTTATTAAGCAAAGGATGGGTGGAATAAAACTAAATATTACCATAATCTCTTTGTTGGAATAACAACAAAATTGTGACGTGGTCGCTGAGTAAAACTAGCTGATCCTTGCATATTTCACTTTTATCCTTAATATATTCCATTCTTTAAAGTATTATTGTGACCTGAGCGGCAATAACCACCCAGGGCACTGCACCTGTTCCATGAATTCGTAACCATAAAGAAACAACTGTAAGACAAAACGTAGTTAAAAAGGCAGCTTGAAATTATGGTGGTATAAATAATAAATATACCTGCCTCTCATCTAGCCCCCACCTCCTCTATCCCCCCCTCCACACACACACACTACAGTGGGCGACATCTGTTGGCCAACCATAGCATTTCCCCCAGCTGTTTCGAAACTTCAGACTCAAGGTTATTCAAACCCTCTCTGTGGATGGGTAGTGGACACGACTCTTGTGCACAATAGTACAGTATAATAATTTGGCAATTTGTGCGATGTACGATATCGTGTGTAAGATAATATTTCAGTAATTTCTTACGACAATTCAAAATTTACACAAATACTATTTTTTATCATCGTATATCTGTGATTAACCCTAAGGGCATTTATTGATGTCAGTACTATTACCTGCACTTTTGAATTTGTAGATTTCGCTTTTGACGAGTTTAGCGTGGTAGTGTGACGGTTGCTGGACTGATGCAAAGTGTCACCACCAAACCGAGCAACGGTAAGAAATATCAATGATAAGAAATATGAATTGAGGAGTTCTGTATTCATCTGTTGAAGAAAGTTCCCCAGCCGGTCCTGACATCTACATGGAGGATCCTCACAATAATCAATGACACACTATCAATATATTTTAATACTGTGTGTGTGTGTGTGTGTATGTGTGGAAGATATAAAATGAGATGAGATTCAAACATTTCGTGTAGTAACACTAGGAAGTTGGCTTTCTCTAATAGTAATTACAAAGTTGGAGAAAATGAGTTATTCACGATTAATGTAGAAAGTTATAAGCAGCTGTATAAACATATTCGTTATAAGTAGCTTCATAAACAGTGTTGTATATTTTGAATTACGTGCATTAAAACGTCAAGCATAGAAAACTAATTATCACTGTTGTGTAGCATATTGAAGTGTAAAATCCATGTGTACGGTAATTTTAACTGGACTGGTACGATAATTTGGGCTTAGGAGTCTAGAAACGCTATTTGTATACATTGCTGTAAGGAGCTCGCCAATAAAGTGATCTGTTCTTGTACACTGCTGTAAGTAACTGTAGAACTGTACGCAGGTCATCGTAGTGTCGCCCTCCAGACCATATCACGCCACACCTGGCGGTCAACACTGGCACTAGTGGAGAAGCGTAGACCTGGACGCCATTACAGGATATGTACTTCGTTCACTTAACCAAGCAGTGTTGTGGAGTGGATTTTTTTTAGTGACGTGCAGGTTCGAGATGAGCCCATAAAAGAGAATTTTCAGAGGTGTTTTCAACAGGCTACAGATAGTTCTGTTTGTTTCAGTGCCCACAGTGTGATGGTGATTTTCAGAATAAAGGTGTTAAGAAAGTTAATTGTGGGGCTCAGTAGCCGTACTTTGAAATCTAAGATATATATATATATATATATATATATATATATATATATATATATATATATATATATATATATATATATATATATATATATATATATATTTGGAATTACAGTGATTTTGACAGTGTTGATAGCCTTCGGTCAGTGTTCGTCTTTCGAAGATGCAGTGAGGGACTCGAAGGATGGAGTATTTTACTCAGTCCAGTGTTTGAAACTAAAGGTTGGTAGCCTCTTTAACCTCATTGAAGAGGCCACGAGTTCAGAAAGTTATCAGAGTTACCATTTTTAGTCGAGAGCTGTGAATAATTTGCTAGTATTGTGACGTTATCGAGTGTGAACTAATTTAAAACCAGACTTAACCACCAGCTTCAGAATTCAGATAATTATATTCTGCATTAGTCAAAAGTGTAACAGACATGACCGGCCTAAGGGGCTATCAGGCCGATCTGAGACGAAGAGGATAAAGCAAAGTAAAGGTGAGTTATTACCTGATTTAGCAAGCGAGTGTTAACGTTTTGTTATATTATTTCTATGGGGAGAGTAATATATTATTTTAAATTAACCCTTTCACCGCTTGTCACGCACTTGCCATTTTATTCAGCTTAGAGTAACCTCCCGCTGTGAAAGGGTTAAAGGTAATACTTCTACTTTGCAAACTGTCGGCGGTCATTGTCCCTTTAAATCAGACCTCCTCCCACACTCCTTATCTCCCTTCACTCTCGGAATTCAGCGTTTTGATGATAAAATAGTGCTTTAAGTGTTGTGAAATTGACTTTAATGTTTTCTCTTGGTGATTCCTAAAATATTATATTAATGTTAAAACCAGGATAACGATCATGTTAAGGTCTAGCTGCTGTTATTCATATTCACGAACTTTTTTCTGGGACACCTATCATGTGACCAGATTGGATAGCAGTGTTGTGATGGTGAAATAGTGTTGTGTGTGTTGTGAGAGTGATTATAACACACAGTATACTCCTACCCCGTCACCCTCTCCAGCTCCTGGTGGGGGCAACCTCACAAGAACATGTAACCGGTAATGTTTTTGTTTCCAGAAGACAAGACATACTGGTTTATTTACTTTTGTGTGGGTTTAGTGTGGGTATATTTTGGGTGTATTTGTTTATTTACGTTCATATTATAAAGCGTTAGTTTCATTTTTGTTTATACAATAATAATTGATTGTCTGATTTCCTTTGCAGTAGAGGGGAGAGGAGGAAAGCTACAGTTAGTCCAGTATATATATTTTTTTGTAAATTCGATTACTGCCAAGTCATATAAGCTATATGAAAACCAAAAGCACCAATCTCTTCAAAAAACTATTTAATACACATTGCAATATAATTTTATATTCATAACCTAGTACAGTACACGGAAAAAACAAACATACGTTCTTTTACGCATTTCGTTCATTTTTTCGCAATTCACAGCGTTTTAGTTTTAACAAATATCCTATTGCACCACCGAATACCTCGTAATTTTCCGCACCGAAAAGTAGATAATGTGCAGTTTTGACCCAGGGAAATTTTTGAGCTTGGAGGTGGGGAAGAGGTTTGGTGTGTCGTGGCGTTCGACTACTGTCACAAACTCAGGTGGTGAGAGTTGTAATGATCCGGGGTTTCAATTTCTGTCTCGAGCTCCTGTAGGTTAGTAGGTGGCGCCGCTGGTAATCATCTGGCTACGACTAATAACCGGAAGTCTCCCCGTGGAAGCACACAGTTAACGCTGCCTCTCTCCCGCACCCTCGGAGCACAGCCTAAAGGGGCATTGTACAGTTACTTGTATATATTGATAAAAATGGAATAAGATATTGAAAGTAAAAACAAACCCACCAACAATACGTCAATAAATATAAACTTTGGGTAAAACAAAGGTTTAGTTAATTGGTTGACTGAACAAGTTTAGAATAACAAATTGTTCTGTCATTCAAGAGCTCAATTAAGAATGACCTCATTGTCCTGAATCTGTGTTGGGTTAGGTTGACCGGGGTCCGGGGCCCGTTAGTACAGGAGGATCTCTATGGATGAAAGTTTACCCATTAGTTAGGGCCAGGTTTAGGGACTAAGGTATAGTGTATTGTTAGTATGGTTTTAATACAATGATTTTGTAAGACCGTAGGAAGCGTTGTGTTATGGTGGTACTGTGCTGTACTGTACTGTACTGTACTGTACTGTACTGTACTGTACTAAGTGGGCTAAGGTTACAATCAAGAATGATTGAGTTTCGTAATCTAAAGTTATCTTACAATCTAATTTAAGTAAGTAAAATGTGATTGATAACTCAAGTTTTATCTTCTTACCCGATGAATGTGAACAATTATTTTAGTATTGGTTTTGGATTTCTTCATTAAGCATAAATTTCCTGAGGAAAATTCCTTTTTACTTTTACTATTTCAGTGCTTTTAAATGGGAGTCATTTATTTACTTATACTTCAGTAGTCTACAATTAGGCTACTTTTTACTCGAGTAATTATCCCCTATAACAGTACCTTGACATAATGAACACAGGCTAATAAGACCTTACACTACACACACACTTTAATATGTATAATATAAACACATTTCATTCGATTGTCTAATTTGTACACAGGTCACCATAGACTCACTGTGTCCCTGTGTTCTGATATATATGAAAGCAACACGGTGAGACAAAACACGATAATGGTATATGGTTGTGATATATGAGTGATACATACAGGTAACACATGACAGTTACAGTTACATACAGGTGACACTTGATACTGATACAGGTGACACGTGGTACTGATACATACAGGTGACACATGGGACTGATACACACAGGTGACACATGATACTGATACATACAGATAACACATGTTACTGATACATACAGGTAACACATGACACTGATACACACAGGTGATACATGATACTGATACATACAGGTGATACATGGGACTGATGCATACAGTTGATACATGATACTGATACATACAGGTGATACATGATACTGATACATACAGGTAACACATGATACTGATACAGGTAACACATGATACTGACAAATACAGGTGACACATGATACTGGTACATACAGGTAACACATGATACTGATACAGGTGACACATGATACTGGTACATACAGGTAACACATGATACTGATACAGGTGACACATGATACTGGTACATACAGTTAACACATGATACTGATACATACAGGTAACACATGATACTGGTACATACAGGTAACACATGATACTGATACATACAGGTAACACATGATACTGGTACATACAGGTGACACATGGTACTGATACATACAGGTGACACATGGTACTGATACATACAGGTGACACATGATACTGATACATACAGGTGATACATGATATTGATACATACAGGTAACACATGATACTGATACAGGTAACACATGATACTGATAAATACAGGTGACACATGATACTGGTACATACAGGTAACACATGATACTGATGGTGACACATGATACTGGTACATACAGGTAACACATGATACTGATACAGGTGACACATGATACTGGTACATACAGTTAACACATGATACTGATACATACAGGTAACACATGATACTGGTACATACAGGTAACACATGATACTGGTACATACAGGTGACACATGGTACTGATACATACAGGTGACACATGATACTGATACACACAGGTGACACATGGTACTGATATACTGTATAGTGATGACACATGATACTGATACATACAGGTGACACATGGTACTGATACATACAGGTGACACATGGTACTGATACATACAGGTGACACATGGTACTGATACATACAGGTGACACATGGTACTGATACATACAGGTGACACATGATACTGATACATACAGGTGACAGATGGTACTGATACATACAGGTGACACATGGTACTGATACATACAGGTGACACATGGTACTGATACATACAGGTGACACATGGTACTGATACATACAGGTGACACATGGTACTGATACATACAGGTGACCCAGGGTAATAAAACAATATCACAGTTGTTCAGGAGTTACACATGGTAGTAACACATGACTGGTACTAGAGTTACTGTGTGAAGCTGCGACACAACCATCAACAACTTAACTCGCCTGTACACAAGACTCACGTCGCTAACACAATGAGTAGGTCCATGATCTTCCCTGAGTCGTCTCTAACACTACCGAGGCGTGAGAGATTATAATCAGTAGCTACTTGAGCATGCGAACCGGTGCTGAGGTTAACGCTGAGTAAGTGAATGTACACACTACTAACAGTGAGTTACAGGAATAACAAGTACGCGACTGTCAACCAAACTTATAAACAGTATAATACGGGATCTCCTTCAAGTCACTGTGCCTCGACTCTTCAACCACAAATCGTAACATAACACTACTGAGAAACAGCCTTAGCATTTATGTGTGTTTTGTAGCCTGGGTATTTAACGTTTCCTGGGGTCTGATAGAGTCTTGTATTCCATCAAAATTATCTACACATATTGTATACATTTACACTGGGACCTCATCCACAGCTTGAGCGTAGTAAACACGCCACTTATTCGTAATTCACTGGAAAACAGATTATCTCGACCAGCTACAAGGAGACCGACTAATCAGGTTTAGAGGATTTTGCTAACCAGTATTATTGTCAGTGTACCGCACACTATAACCCTAACTGAGCAAGTGTGGAAGCTCTTGGTGCCTACAACTACAAACATGGATGATGACACTACTGGGCATGGCCTTCATATTATTAGCGTGTACCAGCTCCTGAAAACAAACTCTCCTCTAATACTACTTCTAAGAGAGGATGTGATCACCAAGTTGTTCTGGCTGTAATCATAGACTCGTGTGCTTCTCTCATCATGTAAAACTTACCACAACTTGGGATCTATGGACGGGTCCTGGTGTATAACATGTTGGTGCCCAGTTTCGTAGACTAAACCAAAATGGTGGAGCTGAGGAGACCAAGGTGCCATGAACCAGGCAGCTGCACAAAGACGAGCAGCACAAATCTTTCAATAATTATGATTAATATATTGTTTGAAGACCATTTCCATCTTCTCCGTAGCTAGTTGACGAGGTTGTGTTGTGATCCTTAGAATACATAGATGTATTTTCTGCACAACAACCTTATACACTAATGCTTGGTCACCTGGACGTAAGGTAAGCTAGAGAGGCAGCACAACACCACAGTTAACCACAGTCACCTCCTTGATGTTACTATGCTTCACTGCTGACCTGACCACCTGCAGTCCTCTCTCTACATGACCGAAGGCAAAAGATATCTTCCAGTCTGCATCTCGAGTGAAGATGCAGAATTGAGCATTGTTGTCACTGGCGGGTCCATACTCTGCCCTCACAGTGCCAGCGGTAGGAGTCTTCCTGTACTCGGGGCCCACCTGCAGCCCCGGCAGGAGCCGGGCCACTCCCTCCCCCACGTTGTCGTAGTCGCCGCCACACACGCGCTCCCCCGGTTTACCCTTGTTGTACACCTCCAACATACGGGTGCCAGCGTAGGAGGGTCCTCGTTCTCCTGTACACAGCAGCAGGAACTGCCTGGCCAACCCGTTGTCTGGGCTCAGCCGTATGTAGACAGTACCTTTAGTTGACCCTCCCCACCCCAGGTCCAGGAAGACCAGAGTGGAGGTGGGGTCTACCAGGCCCATCACAGCCCTGTGCTGCAATGATTGAACAATAAAATAACACGAGAATAACATTGACTAATAATTTGAAGAATAAAAGAATAATACCATTTGACACTAACACACAATCTCTCCTATATACTAATGTGTATAGACTTAAACTGATGTTACAATATACTGGAGCATATGTTGATTATTACAACTTATAGTTGATCAATACAGTACTGTAATTATATGGATTTCTGCATTTGTTAACTTAATCTTGATTAACATTAATTACTAACATTTACTCACCGATCATTGTCGATATATTACTGCAAAGAAACACTGAATATTGCTAAAATATTACAAATTGGATCAATAATTTTTCCTGATTAACAGGTTTTGGACGTTTACAACTCAACAAAAGATAATATGGAGCGGCGAGTAAGACTTCCGGTACAGTACATTAACTTGTGCCTGTAAAGGTTTCCTTCAACTCACCTTTATAGTTCAATGATTTTGCTTTATTAATACTGTGGGTCAAGTTGACATTATCACACTGGTTTTATTATTGATATTTGGGGAAATAATTGAGTTTCAATACTTGTGACAGTCGCTCTCACTCACGTGTTGTTATCATCATCACTCGTCACTATCTACAGGACTGCTCTGTTACTGCTACAACAAGATCACTCACCAGTTCATGTTTCTACAATATAACTTTAGACAAACTACGAGGGACCGCTGGAAAATAATGCCTTCTAATTTATAATTCTGCACTGAGGTTTACTCTTAACCTGCCGTCAGGGTAGACCTCTATATCTTGTTGACAGAACCAATTCCTCAAAGTCCTCTTGACTTTAACCTCCAAAGAGTAACGTCGTCCTCGAAGATGTTTTTTAAGTTTAGGGAATAAATGAGAATCTGAAAGAGCAGTGTGATGGATAGTCTAATATAAATAAACCAAGACGACGAATTGTTTGAGTCGTTAGTGCACTGGTCAAGTCGTGCTGGAGGAGACCCATCTGAATGTCGGAGCTAACTCTTAAACTTTTCATCTTGAATCTTTCCAGAGTTTCAGTGTAGCAGATATTATTAACGGTGTTACAGTACCAGTTGGCCAGACTACTGAATGAACAGCACCGTTTACGTCCCAGGAAACATTACGCGTGAGTTTTCCGGCAGACACTTACATTTGTGTTTTGGTCCTGATGAACTTTGGTGATGATAAGCCATTGACTGTCTACACACTCGTCATCCTACACAGCTTCATGGGCTGGTGACCGCCGATAAGTGGAGTATTTTGTGCCGCCAAAAAACTCGATAACTGAGCTAGTGAAGACGGTGCTGGCCACACGCCCTGCTGGTGTACTGAAGAAGCTAAGTGTCCTAGGTCCTTACTCTTGTAGCAGCTGGTCACGTGTATGGAACTAAGTTTTTCAACAGCCTGACCTAACCTAATCAAACGTAAAATAATGTAAGCTGACCTAACCTAACCTGACCTGACCTAACCTAATCAAACTTGACCTAAGCTGACCTAACCTAACCTAACCTATGTACAATAATCACTGTGGCTCACCTCCAGGGTACGGGCATTGTTAGGGGTTGGTCTGGTACGGAGTGTGTGGAGGTGTAATTGAGAGTCCTGTAGTGTTATTGTGGAGCAGCGGAGATGACCCTGGACCGCCACCACCCACCCAGCCTCCACCAAGATTCTCGCTGGACCAATCAGAGGTCTTAGTTCCTCCAGCTGAAAGTTTACCTCAGCGTTAACTCTTATGTTTAGGAACATTACCGGTAAATTAACATAGTGCACTTAGGAGCAGTACCGGTAAATTAACAGTTCATTTAGGGACATAACCGGTAAATTAACATGGTGTATTCAGGAACATTACCGGTAAATTAACTTAGTGTATCTAGGAGCATTACCGGTAAATTAACATAATGTATTTAGGAGCATTACCGGTAAATTAACATAATGTATTTAGGAGCATTACCGATAAATTAACACCACTAGTGTGTGTTCATAAGGCTACAGTATAGCGCTACAGATACAGGCTGTGTTCACTTACTGAGAGGGGAGTCGTTTGGGACACTCTGGCTAGTAAGGTGATGTGGTTGACTTTATCCATGATGCTGATGTGGGAGGGAGGCAGCTGGTGGATGGACGCTACACCCTCACCATCTGTACCACCTGTCATCATAGCCGCTGTTCTTTTACTGGACTCCCTCACCTGCAGACACAACCACCTGTCACTATAACCACCTGTTACTATAACCACCTGTTACTATAACCACCTGTCACTATAACCACCTGTCACTATAACCACCTGTCACTATAACCACCTGTTACTATAACCACCTGTTACTATAACCACCTGTCACTATAACCATCTGTCACTACACTCACCTGTCATAACCAATTGGCAGTTTGATTACATTCTGTTCTTTATAAAGTGAACTCTCCAGGTCTTGTTATACTGTTCTCTGACTCACAGTTATTTGTTCTCTGACTCACTGTTATACTGTTCTCTGACTCACAGTTATTTGTTCTCTGACTCACTGTTATACTGTTCTCTGACTCACTGTTATACTGTTCTCTAACTCACTGTTATACTGTTCTCTGACTCACAGTTATTTGTTCTCTGACTCACTGTTATAATTGTTCTCTGACTCACTGTTATACTGTTCTCTGATTCACTGTTATACTGTTCTCTGACTCACTGTTATACTGTTCTCTGACCCACTGTTATACTGTTCTCTGACTCACTGTTATACTGTTCTCTCACTCACAGTTATTTGTTCTCTGACTCCTCAACCAAGATAACAGGTTGATGAACAATCCTTGCCCATTGTTGTGTGTGTGTGTGTGTGTGTGTGTGATATTATCGATTAAGTAAGTGTTAGTTAAGGAACAGTTACCAGTATATACATGAACTGGCTCGCAGAACATTATGGAACCGCTGTCATAAATCCTCAATGTGTACGTGATAACTCCTGAGGGGACAGACAATTACACATTAAGCTCGGTAGGACCATTAACTCCCCCAAACAGCTCAGATAACTTTGATGAGATTCACCACCTAAGTACTGAAGGTGTTGAGTCTGTATCATTGACCACACACAGTACAGGTCACGGCCAGTTTTATGTGAACACTAAATTATGACGTTCAGTAACAATTGTGACGGCCGAAAATTTTCATACCGTAATATTTCATTATTTTGTTGCCTTAATGGTCCATAAACTTGTCCTAAGGACCTGAGCCAATCGTTGTCACGGATTTTTACTCCTAAACATTAATTTATTTATTAAATAATAATGTTGTTTTTTCACCATGTGCCTCAGGCAGTTGTTTACCAGCCACCATAATACACCATAGGAACATCACAGGGTCACTTTAGTTACAGTTTACACCTAGACGCCTGTGATGACGAAGGACGCACCACTCACCACCATACCCTGTGTTAATGATGTAACAGCACGGTCAAGCCCACACAAGGGGGCGGGGGATAAATTAGCCGTTGCCTAACTTAACTTTTACCTAGTGTCAGTAAACTAAAATTATCATAACTAATATAGTTTGATGGACTCGTTATTGAGTCAGGACTAAAGGCGTCATCATCTTACCCTCAGTGATCTATAGAGAACATCAACGTCCGGAAACTGTTGCTGGTACGTGTGGACCAAGTCTTGTGTCGATAGTTTGTAGGTGTAAAAATCCTGCCTGACAGCATGGGCTTCCTGGGTGGTGGTGACTAAGGCCAGACAAGCCTTCAGTATGTGTCCCTGGTTCCTACGGTCGTCAATATCCTTCATGACAGCCTCTACACTGTCCTGCTCGTCCTTCAGGAGTCTTGTTATGGCTTGATTTTGTTCCATCAATTCTTGTAATTTGGTAATGAGTCCTTGGTGGTCATCCTGACGATGGGCCAACTCGGATTCATACATGCTCAGTTGGTCCAGCAAATGTTGATAGACTTCGTCGAGGGCGTCCATACTGTAGTCCTGCTCCTGCAAGAGAGAGCGTAGATTCTCGTCGACGCCTTGTTCAGCCGCTGTGGGAGCAACCTGGTGAACCTTCAATGCTCTGATAAGTCCTTCCATACCGTAGCATATCGGGAACTGAGAGGTGGACGTGGCCTTGTGGGAAACGCGACAAGAGGGACAGGTCAGCTTGTCTCTCTTGATGAGGTCTGTGACGCAGGAGGAGCAGAAGGCGTGACCACAGGGCAGGGAGCGCGGCCGTCTCTCTCTCTCGTTGTAACTGTCTAGGCAGACGCTGCACTCCCCAGGGTTGTTGGCGGCCTGCGTGAGTGTTAGTGTACAGCATATTATTATTATTATTATTATTATTATTATTATTATTATTATTATTATTATTATTATTATTAATGTGATTATTATTATTATTATTATTATTATTATTATGATTATTATTATGATTATTATTATGATTATTATTATTATTATTATTATTATTATTATTATTATTATTATTATTATTATTATTATTATATTAACCCTCCCTCACACAATATATATATATATATTCAATACAAGTGTCTATATCGTTATTGAGAGGTGTGTCAGGCTGCTCGCGTAATCATAGTAGTAAGTGAAGCAGACAGTGAGAGAGAGATAATGTTACCAGACAAACGGTATCAAGAAATAGATAAATAAAGGTTATAAAAAAGGCTAATGGGTAAATAAAATGAGGTAAAAACTGATTAACAAAATAAAAATAATAATAATTTAATATAATATATAATATAATATAATATGATATGATATGATATGATATGATATGATATGATACGATATGATATAATAAAGCTCACCATTTTCCCTGACTACAGGAGCGATGGCGCTGAGCACTGGCCGTGGTGCAGTCATCTGAAGGCGTGGTACACTACACCCCTCTCTAAGTGTGGTGCAACAGTCTGTAGATATGGGATAACTTTGAGTGTGGTACAATCTTCTGTTGGTATGGTACATCGTGTGGGGGCGTGGTACAATCATCTGTTGTTATGGTACATCGTGTGTGGGCGTGGTACAATCATCTGTTGTTATGGTACATCGTGGCTGGGCGTGGTACAATCATCTGTTGTTATGGTACATCGTGTGGGGGCGTGGTATAATCATCTGTTGTTATGGTACATCGTGTATGGGCGTGGTACAATCATGAGAGAATTGCACACACTTGTTGGTACATAATACATCCGCGTGTGGGCGTGGCACTGATGTGTGTGGGAGTGGTACTGATGTGTGTGGGCGTGGTACTAAAGTGTGTGGGCGTGGTACTGATGAGTGAGGGCGTGGAACATCCATTTGTGTGATATAATCATCTAAGGTGAACAATCGTCTATAGACAGTGTTCAGTGGGTGTGATATAGCCGTGTGAGGGCGTGGTACAGTCGGAAACCATATTCTCTAGCCCACCTGGGTCGGTGCTGGAGGTTAGTACAGTGTCCTTTCTGGACGGGGGACCACTCTAACTATCACGAGGCAACACACCCACGAACAACACAGTCATAGTACAGCTGTATAGATGATATTATGTATAAATATTGTATATGGCATTTTATACTCTGCATTATCTTCATTATATATGAACACGAAGAAAAATTACCATAGGTTGTAGTTACGAAAGTATGAATGGAAATAAACACTTCCAAACCACCCAGTGAATCCACACAACGTTTACAGCGCTTCCACCACACCCCATCTCTATCTGTTATTTTCCATCATTCGCATAACTATATGAAAAAACGTGTTTAATTTAACTACATATTTCAAAAACCATAAATTACATGTGGATCAGTCACTCCTCATTTGACACACTTATAGTGTAATACTTTGACCATCCCACCTGGGCACATGGAGGCCCACGATAACTCTCACGGGGCAACATACGCACGAACACACAAGTTATGATATGAACCCTTCCAGGCTTCACTATCAATATGAAGTTATGTTCATAGTGCTCTGTATCTTGGTAACTAGTCATAGTACAACTATATATGAAAATGGTACAACCGTTATTGGGCGTGGTACAAACATATATGGGCGTGGTACAGCCATTATTGGGCGTGGTACAACCATTATTGGGCGAGGTACAACCATTATTGGGCGTGGTACAACCATTATTGGGCGTGGTACACCTGTGTACAGTAGGGGAGTGTCTTACACGTGTGTACAGTACTGGAGTGTCTAACACCTGTGTACAGTACTGGAGTGTCTTACACCTGTGTACAGTACTGGAGTGTCTAACACCTGTGTACAGTACTGGAGTGTCTTACACCTGTGTACAGTACTGGAGTGTCTTACACCTGTGTACAGTACGGGAGTGTCTTACACCTGTGTTTAGTGCGGGAGTGTCTTACACCTGTGTGCAATTGGGGTGTGTCTTACACCTGTGTATAGTACGGGAGTGTCTTACACCTGTGTACAGTACTGGAGAGTCTTACACCTGTGTACAGTTGGGGTGTGTCTCACACCTGTGTATAGTACGGGATGATTTTGATTTTGCCGCTTGCAGCGGCTACTTTATTGTGCACCCCACACTCATCCTGTGAGCGGTAGCGCAAAAGGATTACAGAGTAGGGTTTACAACGGGTCATAATAATTAACCCCCGTTGTCAGGATATTATGGCACTGAAAGTTACACAGTATTTCATTTACATTATTTGTTTAGTTCTATACATAAAGGGTAACTTATTCACAAATGCGTGAGAACAGGCGTGTGAGGCAGTATGTCTGGCCTCACACTTTGTTATTCACATTTACGTGGGAGGTATTCAAGCACATTGCGTATTTGGTTCTGTACATGAGAATTGATATAGTTACTAAGTGCAAAAAAGTGGATACAATCTTAATGTGTCGGCTATCTTGCCATTAGAGATGAAGTGTTGTGCCATTTCACACACAGTGTGCTTGGACCTGTCCCTAAAGGTTCTATCTTCACACAGTCGAGGACGTAGTGTTCAAGTGTGTGGCCACACACTTTACATTTAGTTTTGTTTACATCTGCTTGAGGAACATACTGCCAAAGGTACTTATATCCTAACCTTAATCTAGCGGTTACAACATCTTGTAATCTAGTGATCTTGTTACTTGCTCCATATACATGTTTCACTTGATACATCTCATCATGGTAACCTATGGATCGACTAGTGCCTGTTTGCACTTGTCTACTTACGTCAAACTCATCAATAAGTTCTTTCCTAATTACAGTTTTAAGGGTTCTTTTTGACAGACCCAAATTGTATTCAACGGTGTCTTTGTTAGACGCGAGTTTGGCGAGGGCATCAACTCTGTCATGTTTTATGAGGCCTATGTGAGAGGGGATCCACAACAGTTTGACCCTGACACCCCGGTCAACAAGGCACGCATATTTGTGTCTGGCTTCAGAGACAAGAGCGTGACAACCTGAGTCGAGGGTACCAAGGGCAAGTAGTGAGGATAGAGAGTCAGTGATGATGAGACTGTCAGTAACAGTGGTTTCAATGAATTTAATAGCTGCGAGTATGGCAACTAACTCAGTTTGTAGAGTGGATGCCCAGTTGTTAATTCTAACTCCTTTCTCAATTATATTACCGTCAGGTTGAGTCACAACAATAGCACTTCCAGCCCTCCCACAGGCGGTGTTTAGAGATCCATCAGTGTAGATGGTCTGTGTGATATTATCATCAGTCTGTAGAGTGTGTATGTGTTCAAGAGCTCTCAATTTGGCAGTGTGTTGGAGATAAATGCTTTGTATAATTAATTTTTTAGGCGGATACGTCGGTATTGTGATATCGAAGGGAACTGTCCGCCAGGGTGGCAGGAAGCGCTGTTGTGTCTCAACTTTGTACAGGTGGTCTAGTCCAAACATCTTCATATGTGTAGCTGTAGTTTGGATCCATTTAGACTCAGTAGTCCCATGGTTCATACATTCTAGCAATTTTAAGGAAACAATGTTATCAGGATCGCCACGCAGAAGCCTCAGGGCTATCATGAGGTTGACTTCAATTATTCTATCTTTAACACTGGGTAGTGGGTATACCTAGTTCTTTCCTCATATTAAGTACTTTAGTGCTCATGGGACATCCTAGGATAATTCTGAGGGCTTTATTTTGCATTTTCTCGAGCTTGTCAACGCCTTTCCCGTCACGAATGACCAGGGCTGGTGCGTGGTAATCTATCAGAGATCTTATATAGCCTAGGTACATTGTTTTAACAATTCTAATATTAGCACCATAGTGCGGGCTGTACCCCGCTACACTTCTAAGAGGTCTCAGTCTGTCAGTACATTGGCGGGTTAGCTGTTGTATGGCAGGTAGGGTACAAGGGACGGAAACACCAAGATATTTAAAGGAAGAAACATAGTCAATAGTGTTGTTACCTATCTTGAACTTGGCGGGGCCGCGTTTGCGGTTACCAGCTTGTTTGTTGAACACCTTAGTTTTGTCAGTGGAGATAATAAGACCGAGGTGTTCACAGGCTGCGTATACATGGTTCAGGGTGGTTTGCATTTCACGATGAGTTTTAGTATGTATAAGAATATCATCAGCATAGCTGATTGAGATATTGCTGGGGTTGTCTGGTATTAAATTTAATAATGCATTCATAAGAACATTGAACAAAGTGGGGCTAAGTACTCCACCTTGAGGGGTACCAAGTTGCATATCTTTAACTTCACTTTTGTAACCCTGAAACAGTGCAGCAGCCCTTCTGTTGGTTAGGTAACCACTTATCCAGTGTAACAGCCTACCTCCTATATCCATTTTGGCTAGTTCGTACAATATCAGTTGCCTATTGGCAATATCAAATGCAGCTTTTAGGTCAAGAAATGTGGTGTATCTGTGCCTTTCATCACCATGCACAGTTAGGAATGTGGTGATGCAATTATGTACACCTTTACCATGGGTGAAGCCATTTATGTTAGGAGACATGTGTTCTCTGATTCTATATAAGAGTCTGCCAAGAACCATCCTCTCAAAGGTTTTACACAGGCAGCTGGTTAGTGATATGGGACGAAAGGCATCAGGCTGTCCTGGTTTCGGTATTGGTACAACAATACTGCTGGTCCATGATGTGGGTAGTTGGCCCTCGGCATGACTCATATTGTACAATACCAACAATGGATTGCCTGGCACGCGCCTTAGTAGTCTAATGATGTTGTAGGTGACTCCGTCCTCTCCAGGGGAAGTAGACCTACCCCTGGCGAGGGCGGCGTCAAGCTCCCACTCAGTATATGGAACATCACACTCATCGTGCTGTTTGCCCAGCATAAAGCTAATAAGATTACTTCTCTCTACAGACTTCGCATCAAGGAGTCCCCGAGTCCCAGCTGGTAACATGTCATAGCTCGACACATGAGCCCATTTTGCTATTAGCTCATTCGACTTTTGCAGAGGGTTTGGATGGGAGACGTGTCTTCTGTTTTTACCTCTGATTATGTTTATGTCTTTCCAGGCTTTGCTGAGGGATGTGTGTTGGTTCAGGCTGTTGACATATGTCTCCCATGCATTTTGTCTGAGTTCGTTTACACGTTCCCTGACAGCAGCAAGGGAAGCTTGATACAATTGTAACATTTGAGGTGTTCTACATTGTCTGTAACCCTTACCCACCCTCCTGACCCTAGCCCTGAGTTTTTTCAGCTCAGGGTCATTATAGCACTGCTGTTGCCTGTTCCCATTATGCTGACCACGTTTTCTCCTTTTTTTGGTGGAGGCATTGTTGGTGAAGTATGCATAAGTCCTATCTATCAGATCGTCATGGAAACTTTGGTAGTTGTCAGGCTTGTAGTCCTTGTACCAGTCATGGATGAAGTCTATGAACTGGCTTTCATGTTCTTGCTTGACTGTGATTCTACGTCTGTTGAGTTTACCACCAGTGGGGGTGTCATTGGCTACATGTATACTAGCTTGGATTGGGCTGTGGTCAGACATAAGATCAG